AAAAAAAGCTTTTTTTTTTTTTTTTTTTTTTTTTTTTTTTTTTTTTTAACATGAATAATGGAAGCACTGTGGGTTGTACTAACTAATGCCTTCATAACAGATCCAGAGAGGAAACTGTTCAAACTTCTCCAGATAGTGGTGACATTTTTCAGCTTGATTTGGTAACACGATTGTGACCTTCAGACAGCATAAATATGTGTCCATCTCATGTGTAATTTGTTATAGACCCAGCTGGGTTCTTCTCCAATGTCTCCTTTTGGAGTTGTACCTGATTTTATTACCAGTTTTCATCCGAATCCACTGGGGAATGGGACGATTTTGCTTTTGTTTCTTGGCCAGGAATCGCTTAATCCTTAAAGTCTTGTGAGAAGACATGGCGAGAAACAGAGTAAAGCACACGCCACGATGGCGGAGAAAGGAAGAGAGTGTGGTTCTTAATCTTACGTGAATCACAAGACCTTTTGAGAATTTGATGAAAGTTAATTGATAATTTCCCCAGAAGAATGTACGTGTACACATGTCACTTCAGAAGGTGTAAAACCCATGAAGCTAACATCAGGACACACATCTGTCCTCTTTGCCCCTTGAGAACCTGGAACTATTTTTTTTTAAAGTCTCAGGGAATGTCACATGAACCAGTTTCAGTTTGCTCCCATTGCCATCAGGATAAGCCCTACAAATTATGAAATAGTTTTTTTTTTATACCTCCTTGTTGCTCCTGCATCCAAATCCCACACTCTTGTCAGCCTTCGGGAAAGGATTTGATAATTAACAGTCATGCTGAGGCATAAATAACTGAGAAAAGCTGGTGTAAATAAACCTCCTTCTGAAGTGAGGCTGTTCAACCCAAAGGCAAATAACCCCCCCGCAGAAGGAATTTCATTTACCTTTGGGATGAACAACCAAGATGAAGCATCATTAGACTTTTAACGTAGGCAGAATGGGGAAGGCGTTTTGCTTAGAGCCCTTCCCTGTACTCTTGACAGTATGCCACTATGACTCATTTGGTAGGTTCTTTTAATGGAGTTGGTGGTAACAGGGCTGCTTGGAACCAAATTGGAGAGCGTATGCTGTCTATAACCAGTAAGTCCAAAACAGAAAAGAGAGGAATTGCCAAAGCATCTCATTAAGAGCATTTATCTATTTTATTTTCTACTAATTTTTATTTGGACTAACCCATTTGAGGTAAATTAGGAAAGTGAAATTGTATTAAATGTTTTCTTTAAGGCAAGTAACTTTTTGCCTTATTGGCAGGCACAAGTTCAAGCCGTGGCCTATACCTTGGCACCTAAATAAAAGATACAATAGGAAACGATTCTTCGCAATGCCTTATGTGGACCGTTTTCTCAGGTGAGCACAAGTACCCTTAATAATAAAACATGTTATCTTTATACCAGATGACATACGTTAAGCTTTCTTTAAATTTTAATTTCTGTTATTACATAAGAAATTTAAAAAATAGGAAAGTCAGGTAGAAAGAAAAATTGAAGTCATATATAAGCTCACCTTCAGAAAAGCCACTGTTGGCTAAGCACGGTGGCTCACGCCTGTAATCCCAGCACTTTGGGAGGCTGAGGCAGGTAGATCACTTGAGGTCAGGAGAGTTCGAGACCAGCCTGGCCAACGTGGCGAAAACCTGTCTGTACTAAAAGTACAAAAATTAGCCAGCCGTGGTGGTGTGCACCTGTAATCTCAGCCACTTAGGAAGCAGAGGCACGAGAATCGCTTGAACCTGGAAGGCGGAGGTCACAGTGAGCTGAGATTACACCACTGCACTCCGGCCTGGGTGACAGAGTGAGACTCTGTCTCAAAAAAAAAGGAAAAAAAAAAAAAAAGAAATAGCCACTGTTAACATTATAGTACGTATCATTTCAAAAGTTTTATTCCCTTTCTATTTTTCTATCTATATGTATATAGAAAACTTTCTACTGCTATATGAAAATGAAGGCCCAAATAATTCAACTGCATATAATGTGACTTCATGTTACTCCAAGGCTGTTAAAAAGAAAAGGGGCTAGGAAGAGAAGTCTGTTGTATTATATCTAAACTCATGAAAAGATAAAAATAAACTCATGTTATCCTGAAGAATGTTGATCTCCAAATATTTCCTCCAGCACATTTTTCCTTCATGAGGTTGTAACAGGAATGGCCGTGAGAAACAGAGCTCTCGAACACAGAACGGGGAAGGAAGGGGTTTATTATTACGGCCGGGAGCCGGGCGATGATTTATCTAAATCCAGCTCGTCCAACAAAGAAAGGTTTTGCCTTTATATAGGCTTACACTCTAGATATTACACAAGAAAGAATCTTAGGTTTACAGCCTTAGAAATCACGAGTGAAAGGGTTTTGGATTTACAGCTTTAGGAATTACATGTGAAAAGGTTTCTGGGTTTACAGTTTTAGAAATCACATGTGAAAAGGATCTTGTTTAAGTAAAAACAGTGTCTTCCAGAGAGTTTCCCCAATACCAAGCGTGTTATTTACAGGAAGGTGATTAAGGAGGTGCCAGGTGGCCAGCCTTTTCTTCTATTGAAATGCAGTATGGAAGTCAAGGGGGAGGTGATCCCAGATGCCTGGGTCTCCTTCGTCAAGGTTTATCCCGGAGTAGGAAGAACACAGGGCTTCTGTTATGACAGAGGAGTTCAGTGTTCCCATGAACCACTCGCTGATAACCATACAAACTTCAGATTTTTTTTTAAAGAGCTATTTTAAATAGGATGGAGTTTTAAATAGGTTGGAGTTTAATACCCAAAAACTGCAAGTAGAAGGGAAAAGTACAGCAAGCTTATGGTTTCCTGGGCCAAGGGTACTACTCAACTCCCATTGCTGTGGCTCCAGAGAGAGACAGGGCAGAGGAACCAGAGCTCCGGCTAAAGGTGCTAGAAATAGAATTCAAAGCTGGGAAAGCAGCTGGAAAATTAAAGGGGAAATTGTAGCAGCACAATAGTAGCACAAGAACCACAGCTTTTAACGACTCTCTTGAATAATACATTCTACTTTTAGCAAGTTCCTCGAAAACCAATTTTCTCCCCCGAAAGATTTTCATACCAAAACAAACTTGTAAAAACAATTTAAACAGGAATGTAATCTGTCTCTAAACTTGGCTCTAAAGTGTTTAATGTACTTTAGAATCACATTTAAAATTACTCATCTTCCCCACTGAACCAGCTACCCCTGTCCTCACTTTATCTGTAGAATGCCCAGTCTGCGTGGGCACTAAACCATGTCTTCTTCATCACCACTGCTGTGTATGTAATCAGTCCTAGATTTCAATCTTGCTGCTGAACGTCTCCAGGATCTCTTCTTCTCCCACTGCTTTGCCCTGGGGCAGCGTCTTCAGGTTGAACTGCCAAACGTGTTCTTTACTCCAGTCCATTCAAATACTGCCTCCTGGCTCATTTTCCTCAAGCCTTTTTTTTTTTTTTTTAAATCACATCAGTGCTGTTCAGAAACATACAGCAGCTTCTTGTCTACAGGATAAAACTGGAAACTCTTTTCCTCCCGGCATTCCTGCAAGTCTCAGCTACCTACTCTTCGTCAAAGTTGGAACTCTTGCCTTGTTTCCTAAATGTTCCTTGCTCATTTTCCACTTGTGCTTCTCCTGTTGCTACAGCTTTTAAGTCTTTCCTATTCACATTTAAGACCTAGTTAAATGCTAAGCAATGGAAAAAATCTGACTACACTGTTATTTTCTGGGATTGCTCCAAGCCATGTGGTGCTCTTTGATCCGTTTGTCCCTTAGTCACATGGTGAAGTTGTAAATAACTTTAAAAATAATGAGAAATGTCAATCCAGTATCACTTTACAGGTTTTATACATATTCTAATGATTTTGTTTTTGAAAATACCTTTTCTAGCCTCACCATCAGAGAATGTAGCATCATCTTCTGAGTATTCATAAGAATAGCAAAACTTTTTCCTTTCAGATAGTTTCTTACGTTTTGTAAATGGTCAAAATTTAGTTGGAGCAAAGATTGATGAATAGAATGGGTGATCCCATTTTGACTTTGTTTAGTCTTTTTTTCCCCTGTGTATGTGCATTTTTACTTCACCCAGCTGTAATACTTATCTCAAATTTCTGTGACCTTTCCCATAGTACTAGCATATTATCTTTTTCCCAAAAAACTAGTAACTTCAGCAGTACATCTCTTTGTTATATTTATATAAGCTTATTTCTATTCATCAATATCCTCTAAGATAGGAATTTAAATACAGTAGAGGCTTGGTATCCAAGGATTTTTCATTTTCAATTTTTACAACTCCTATGTTGACAGGTCAAGTAAAATTTATGTTGTGATTTGTGCAGCAGATGTGTTGTGTCCTGGGGTACTGATGTGTGGGAACAAACTCATTTAAAGAATAATCTAGCCAGAGCCTAAGAATCATCTCTTAGCAAGGTGTTAGGTTGTCTTTCTGTCGTGTTTTAGAAACCCTGTAATTTTATTGAGCACATTAGATTTTTGACATCCTGAGATATATCCTGAAACTTGTAGGAATTCCCTACTTTCAAATGCTACTCACTGTAGCTTATCATTTCCCCTATAAACAGAGAGAATAACACCTGCTAAAAGATGAAGCTTAGTCATATCAGGATTGAATTTAAGGCCCAGTCAGTTACAGGTTCATAAGATCTGGACATTCATTCTAGTCAGGAAATAGGGAGGGATAGTTGGTATAGGGTTTCAGATGCTCTTGACTTGTGTAGGTTTACAGTGATTACTGTTTAAGTTTAATAATATACAGAACACACCAAATACAGAGACTGGCATGTTTGAGGCTTTGATGTAATTGATTTATGCATATTTTGATAGTATTGAATAACAGGGACATACTTTTGTATAAATTGCTGTTATGCTCTTTTAATTCTAGACTGGAACGTGAGAAACGAGCCCGCATCAAAGCACGGAAGGAAAATTTAGAGAAGAAGAAATCAAAAATTCTTCTAAAGAAGTTTCCACATCTCGCGGAAGCCCAGAAATCAAGTCCTGTCTAGGATGTCTGAACTCTTAAATTTACCATTTTGTTTTTCTTGCATAAGTCTGTGTATAAGAGTAAATAAATATGTTAAGTGGTTTATAAAGAAATTCTGTTTTTAGTCAAGTAAGTGACTTCACTGATTAGTTGTTCTAAGTGTTAATATGGCATGCTAATTAGCTAATTTGGTAGAAGCTAATTTATTTTCTAAAAATCAAGTAAAAAGTTCAGATTAAATTCCCAGTTTATAATTTCTGACATTTAAGCAGGCTTTAATGTCACCTGCATAACTGCCACACCAAAGGCAATACTGTAGTTTCTGAACTTGGGTAACTATTGTTAATAGGATATGAAGAGGATGTGGGTACTGCTGTTAATAAACAGTACTTTGATTCAAAGTAATGATAATACATTTAGTCCTTCAAGTAGTAAGTCACAATGTACAACAGTCCAAAAAATATTTCTGGAATGGCTAATTTTTATTTAATTATGTAAGCCTAAGGTAAAAAGCATAGGCAGTAACTTTTACTAGTCAATAAAAAGCAATCCTACCAATCCACTGGTAATTCATATACTAAACAGAGTTGGAAAGCATTTTACTGAAAGCAAAATATTTAGAGAAAATAGACATTTATACAAAATTATAAAATGCTTGTAATAAGAATAAGTACATTTCAAGGAAAGCACAAACTTAATTTATAGAGCCAGTTAAAGCCTTAAAAAATTTAAGTGGAAATTGAAATATGCAAAAATGTATAAACATTCTACAAAAGATGGTCGTTCTTTTCCTGAGTATACTAAAGCTATGAAACGTAAGGTGACAAAGGAAGGTAGAAGCTTGGGAACTCTTTCTCAAGGGCATTTTCTTTCTACACACTGCTTCCCTCCTTCTTCATATTCTTGTTTGGAAATCCACATCTGCTGAAAGGTACCCTGTAAAATGGAAAGAAATTTATATAATTAATAACGGCTTACTTCTTACTAGAAACGGCTTTTCTTTTTATTTTTTGAGAGAGGGTCTTGCTCTGTCAGCCAGGCCGGAGTCCAATGGCGTGATCGTAGCTCACAACAACCTCTAGCTCCTTGCTTGGTTCAAGGGATCCTCCCACCTCAGCCTGGGACTCCAGGGGCGTGCCACCATGCCTCATTTTTAATTGATGTCGGGATGGGGTCGCACTCTCTTGCCCAGGCTGGTCTTGTACTCCTGGGCACATGCGATCCTCCTGCCTCAGCCTCCCAAAGTGCTGGAATTAGAGGTGTGAGCCACTGCACCAGCCTTTTTTTTTCTTGTAACATCTTATTTGCACAACTCCTAAACTTTGAAGAATTCATTTAAGAATCCTGTCCTCCAAAACAGTACTCAAGTATTCTCTTCTTATTTCTGCCCTCCTCCACAACCATCTAAACACAGCCTTGCCTTTATGGTTAGAAAGAATACTAAGTTCTTCTGTATCTGTTACACTGCACAGGATTTAGAAAAACTGGCAAGGAAGACTAAGGGTTTAGGTATGACGGCTTGATGCCACCCTAAGGCAATAACGGGAACTGTAGGAAGGCTTGACTGAGTACTTAATGACATTGACTTTTGTTGCTCTGAGGTAAAGTGTATTCTCCCCCTTTATATACAGTATATATGTTAAGTATACCATGCACAGATATATGTTACCGTATATAAAGGGAGAAACGCTCTAAGTCCAGGATGCAGAAAAGTACCAGGAGTTTTTCTCCTTAGTCAAGGCAGATGGTAGTCCAAGCAACATCTTAGACCCAGCACCATGACTTCACCATTTGCTCCAACCAATTCCTGTCTTCCTGTATTCACTGGGAGACTGGGAATGACCAGAACTTGAGAAGGAATTATTTAATTTTAAATGCACTCCAGACAAGCCCTGACCAGTGCCAGTGGGGGTGCTATTAGAAAAGGTATGCATACATTAACGTATTTCCATCTCTTTTTGAGAAGGGAAATTGGAATTAGGGTGACAAATGTCCACTATTTAGGCAAAGAGGCATTCTGTTACATCAGAACACATAAAACTGGTTATCCTATTAGGTCCTCCACTCATTTGACAGTTTTAAAATGCAAAGATAAATGAAGCACTGGAATTATTTTTAGTATTTTTACTAAATTTAGTATAATTCAGTAAGAATATTTTTGCAAAGTAGCTCATTCACTAACCAAGGAGGCTAGAATGGAGCCACCAATCCAGGAGCTAAACCTCCGTTCCACCGTTGTATTATTTGCAATCAATTTCAACCGCATACTCTGAAACAGAGAGAAGAATGCACATTATACAATCAAATCTTATGACTCAACTTAGGAAATTCCTTTTTCTTTTTTTTTTTTTTTAAATAGAGACAGGGTCTTGCTCTCCATATTTTCCAGGCTGGTCTTGAACTTTTGCAATTAAGCAATCTGCCCATTTCAGACTCCCAAACTGCTGGGATTACATGCATGAGCCACCGCACCCAGCCAGGAAATTCGATTTTGACAGACTTCTTAATGGTTCCCTGTAGTTCAAACACTGACTAATTTTCAAATAGCTAGGATAACAAGCATAGGTTAGACTAATGTATACATTTTTTTAAAGTACTTCGATTATGGCTTTTAATATGCAATTATGTGATGAGAAAACATACAAACTTTAGAAAAGTGCATACTGAAGTGTAGCATTCACAATTTCTATCCTAAAAGAGCAAACCCATACCTAACACTATACATCTGGTACTGTGCTAAGACTTTATGTATTATTTCATTTCATCTAACCCAAACATAATTATTTATTTTTTTAGAAAAATTTAATCTTTGCATTTTAGTTTGGGATTTTTTTAAGAAAATTTTAATCTACACAAACATAGTCATTATCCCAATCTGCCTCCTGTTCTGTAGTCCTCCCCAACCTTATCTAACTGCTTCCTTTCTCGGCCTTCATACTATCCTAATACCTCCTTAGTTCACCCCAACCCTTCCAAATAAAAACGCAGCCATCAGATTTCAGGTTAATTTTTTATTTATACTACTTTCCTTCCAAATCAGTGCTTCTGTTTTGACTCTCACTTTCTCTTGATAATATGTCATTTTATTGCACAGTACTATCCCCTATGTCACTTTCTTTATCAAGAGCTTTTTTTCTTCCTACCAAGGAATCTGCCTCTGGGGACAGTGCTCAAGTTGCTGACATCTTCAAATTATTCTATAAATGAACACATTCTGTGAGCTTTTCTAAGTGCAGCAGGGGTAGAGTATGGGATATGGGTGGGTAGAAGGGACTGGGGATAGGGTAAACATGGGTTTTTGTAGGTATGAAAGATGGGTAACTATTAAGTAGAATATTTTTCCTGTTCTTTCACTTAATTATGGAAACGTGGCATATGTAAAACATTCTTTTATATGGGAAACCAAGACTATGAAATATACAGATCTATAGATATTGTTAGGCCTATGTAAATGTAACCACTAAGGTTTTTTAAATTTAGTATTTAGTGCAGAACAACCTTACAAAAAAACACTTTTAAGTTTTTGTTGTTGTTTTCTTTTTTTTTTTTTTTTTTCCCTGAGCTAGAGTCTTGGTCTGTCACCCAGGCTGGAGTGCAGTGGCGCCATCTCAGCTCACTGCAACCTCTGCTTCCAGGGTTCAAGCAATTCTCCTGCCTCAGCCTCCCGAGTAGCTGGGACTACAGGCACGTGCCACCACACCCGGCTAATTTTTGTATTATTAGTAGAGACAGGGTTTCACCATGTTGGCCAGGCTGGTTTGACCTTGTAATCCACCCGCCTTGGCCTCCCAAAGTGCTGGGATTACAGGTGTGAGCCACCATGCCCAGCCAATAGAATTTTTAAATTTAAAGTTAAAGGATTACAACTGTCATTCTGTTAGCGAAGTACTATATAAATTATCTTCTGAAACCAAGGTTTTCTATCCTTGTAAAAGTTCTTACAATACACCCACTGATCTTTTTAAAACAAACATACGTGCTCATCAGCCTACTGCAATATTTTACCCTGTGAAGGAAGTATTTTCCCGTATAGATTCAGCATAGCCCCACTGACACCTTGAGGCTGCTGGCCTCAAGAACTACAAGACAATGAATTTCGGTTGTTTTAAGCCACTAACCTGTATCTTGTTATGGCAGCTCTAGGAAACTAATCCATCTTTCTAGCCATACTGCTTTCCCCACTTCTGTACAGACTGAAAGCCAACTACTTTGAATTACTGAAACATACCCATCTTCTCTTAATATTTTTGCAAATGGTTTTATTCCATTTAGATATCCTTTCTTAAATTAGCAATGAGTTGAACTATTCATTCAAACCATAGCTTCCTAATGAGGCTATCCTCTGATACTCGCAGAGTTAAGCAGTGGCTTCTCGGTGTTCCCGATAACACCTGGTTCATGGCATACTGAACTGTTTAGCATGTTACAGTCGTCATTTTCTGCATGTCGAACATGCTAGTAGACAGAGCCCTTGGCGTGCAGGACTAGTGCCTAGTAGACTATAGGCACTTAAATATTAAGTTAATAAATGAGACTCAAATAATTTAAGAGAAACTAACAGATGTCAACTAAGAAAACTTGGTTGTAGGATATTAACTTTAGTAATACTCTACCAGGTACATATATCATCTCTCTATTAAAAAATAAACCCTCATCTATGACATTACACCATCAGTGAGAATATATATGACTGAAGAATACCATTCAAGAACAGGACTTACTGGAGGAGTTTTCTGAGACAGCTCTCTATTCAGCCTGTCAGTGAAACTCTGTATTAGTGTGTTTCCTCCAGCCACTATGACACTGCCATAGAGACCCTAGGATAAAAATAAAAGAAAAATCAATTCGTTCCAAATGTTTCCAAAAGTTTTAAATACAACTACAAATATAACCATGTCCTCTACTACAATTTTCCCTTTCTTTTTTTTTTTTTTTTTGGAAATGTTTTACTATTATATACACTTAATAGCTTAATCCATCGATCCTTCCTTCCTGGCTATACATTCAACTCATATAAGGAGCTTTTAAAACACAAATTCCTAGGGGCAATTAAATACAAATTTCTGGGAAGGGGATCCAGGCAAGATTACTTTTAGAGACAGGGTCTCGCTATATTGCCTACACTGGAATGCAGTGGCTATTCACAGGCACAATCATAACGTACCACAGCCTCAAACTCCTGGCTTCCAACAATCCTGTCTCAGGCTCCCAAGCAGCTGGGACTACACGCCACTGTGCCTGGCAGGCACGCTTTTTAACTCCCAAGATTAGTTTAATGTGCACAAAGTTTTAAGAGCCGCTAACTTAAAAGAATCGTTCTAAAAATGATCATATTTTTTGGCAGATAGCTGCAAATAATAGAAGCGTATTTTATAACAGCTTTATCTTAGAATGCTCATCTGGAAAATTTAATACCAACTGCCAGCCAAAAATTAAAATTACAAATATTTTGAAAAAGAATGCTCATCTGGAAGTTAAGATACTCAAAATTAGACAGATTATTTTATGATTATGATGGACAAAAATAAACTCTGAACATATTCCTGTCCAAAATGATT